ACGATCCATCTTTCTATCAGTTTAGTTTCTATCAGAAGTTTATTTTAAATAGTACAGCACCTTACCCTTTGATCTCCTGCAGTACATGTTTTATTCTGTTAAGATTAGCTGTAAGTGATGGATTTGCCCAAATTTAACATTATGAAATAGAGATTACATCAGGTTTTTGCCTTGAACTAATGTACTCATGTTAATATTGACACTGGTAACATCACAAAGGGACAAATTTCTTGGTCAATTAAATGGAAACTTCTAGCAATCTGACGAGTCTAAGAACTCACTCAAAAAGCAGAGCACAATTCGAGTCAAACACATTGAGTCAAAGTGTGGCTTAGCTAGCTGTGCTAACTTCACTTGTTGGTCCTTGCAGGTACATGTCACATGCCTGTGCTAGTTTGGTATTACTCTGGTTGAGAAGTTATGTGCCAGTTTAATCAGACAAAACCTCGAAATGATTCCAAATGCAGCAGCGTTTCGCAGCTCGAGGAAGAACATTTATATGATAATTACTTCATGGAAATGCAATATGACTGAGACACTAAAGCAGACAAACTACCCCATCTGCAGTGCAAAATGATTATTATGATGATTATTACTTCAAGGAAATGATCGGTGCACTCAGTGATCAACTCGTCAGGGCTTCCCCACGATCAAGCAGCTGCTGGAGGAGAGTGGGTGATTTGTGTTTGGTCTCTTTGCTAAAGAAACCAGGCAAGGCTAAAAAGATGTTTAAAGGCTAGTACTATGGCTGGGACCCTATATGTACTGTTGATGAAGTTAGGTGCTGTTCTGAGCATTATTTGTGGCTATAGAGTGGCTTTTTGGTTGAGGTTTGCACTTGGAGACATAGACCGCTGTGTATTGCTGTCATACGATTGTTACTGAGCAAGCAGTCATCTCTTGAGAGGGTGTCTAACTCGGTGTTATGGGGTGTTTGACCATAACTTAAATTTATGCCAGAATATCCCTTTAAAACATTGCCAGACTGTGTTACTCTGCACCAACACACACCACCTGTCATATTTGTTTGTCTACATCCAGGTCGTAGAGCATTACAGCATGTTAACAGCCACCATTAACCAGAGTTACAGCCCCTGCTAGTGGAGGGTGGCTGTGCTACAGCTCTGACAACACTGGAGTGGGATGGTGGGCCTTCACTCATAGAAATATAAACAATTAGCTAAACTACCAAGCAATTCTGGTGCTGAAAAAGAGTGGCAGGGTGTGGATCATATAGTCGACTGAATACATATTCCTTGTTTTCTGGTTAGTTGGAGATGAGGCTGTGCTGCGTCTGAGTCTTTGAGGTTAGAAAAAAGGTATATGGTCTCTTTCTCGCCATGCTGTCATACATGTTGAAGTTGAGTAAGTTAAGATTTACATATATAAAAGGTTTTCAGAGGAAACAGATCCACATAATGTCTCCATGCTCTATGATTTTAACCTTATGCTTTTTCATTTATTCCCAAAATATTTAGCAATAGCATGTTATGCATAAAGTGAAATGAAACGCATTTTTCTATAAAACCAACCACAACAGGAAGGAAAAATTTCTTTAAGAGTTTATCCTGAAGGGAAAACTTAAAAAAAGATCTTCTAATTGAAGTGATTTTTTTATGCCTAAGAATTATTCAAGCTTTAAACTCTAAAAGACATATTAAAACTTTAAATACAATATTGTAAAACAAATTGCATGTTATACCCCAGAAATGAATACCAGGGAAGAAAGTTTGAACTCTACAATAATCATGGCTTTGAAACAGAACAAAACTTTTCGGTCCTGCTTTTACATTTGACTTCGTGTCAGATTCAGGCCTGTTTTCCAGCTGAAATAAAAAATGGCTGTTGTGCCACGTTACTGCATTTAAAGTTTCAACATCAACTGCGCATTGGGAAGAACATTTGATTTTGACTGTGAAAAGAAGACAAAACACTTGAAAGAAAAACTTTTATAAAGATTTATTCCTTTAGATTTCACTCAATAGCTTGAGCCAAATCCTCTTATTGTTTTACACTTCTGAATGTTCTCAGTAGACTTCATGCTGTTAATAATAAAGCTCAGACGTATGCATAATAAACTCTGAGCAGCTCTAATGTTTAAACAGCTGCTCAGTCCAGAAAAGCGGCTAAAACTGCTGCACCTCTCTCCTCTTCTTTCCTTCTTTTATGCTTCTTAATTTCTTTCTTTCACCTTCTCATTTGTCTCTCCTGAATTTTTACCCTTTTGCCCCTTTTCCTCTTTCAATACTGGAATCTATCTTAACACATACTCCCGTAACACCTAAACTTTGCTCATCCTCTCTCCTCTTCACTCGCCTTCAGGTATCATCACCTAGTCCTGCCTGTGACCTCTCCTCTCGCTTTCACTCCTCATCTCTCTCTCATCACTATCACATCTGCCTCTTCGTAAATCTGGAGCTGTTTGGTGTACTTAACACATCGTCTAGCAGTTGGCCACCCAAGACACACATCTATCCACTTACTCTCTTTCATTTAATGTGTGTTTTATTTTTAGTCTTTTTCTTTTATTTCCCCTTTTTCATTTCTTCCCTTTTACTTCATTCTGTCAGTTCATTGTTTCAGCCTCCCTTTCTTCCAGCTTACTTGTTTCACTCTTCATCTTTCAGTCGCCTCATCAACACTTTTTGTATGTCTATTTATGCTGTTATCATGTGTTTGTATTTGTTTCCTTGTTGCAATTTGACATGTGCTGTACATAGACCAGACATGTGACAATATTTGCCCAGACGCCTCCTCTGAGTCTGGGTTTGATATTCTAAATATTTCTGACCTGATTCTGGAGCCATACCAATGATTTTAAAGTCAGGCTGGATAACAGTGCCATCGCCTGTTGTGTGCTGTGTAAAGGAGGGCATGAGGACTGAACATCTGCTGCTCCTGACTGGATAGATATCAGAAATTATGGTTGGCCATCAGCATACTGTCAGACCTCAGGACCTGAGACCATTGCTGAAGCCATAAGCTCTGAACTTGAGGTGCTGGTGAAGCGGTCGTGACCCTTTAAGGTGCCACAATCATCTTACAGCCGGTCAGTTGTTGTTTAAACTGTATGGAAGAGAAAATTGAAAATCCACCCCTACCCCATCGTCTGGTTATGTGAAGTTCGATTTAGTGTGATTGAAGGTGAACTAATGTGTATACATAGTTTTTAAACTCCAGTTCTATACCCGTTTTTAACAACATGTACATGTACTGAGTGTTTACCTCTATCTAACAGAACACAAAAAAAGTATACAAGTATGTCCTCAACCATCAAACACTCAGTACTCAATTAATTGTTGACATCCTAGTCCAGAGGTAGCTGAGGATGTTTGTTCACAGAAAGGGAAAACCATAAACTGTTTATAGAATGGACGCCATCTGCCTCCTCGCTGGGTGAAGGCACTCTCTGGTGACTGGCTGCAGTATAGGTCATAAATCCCGCCTCCTCCAGTAATCTCTATGGAGTTGTGGACAAACTTTAGAAATTTATTACACAGAATATAGATTTTTCTCCGCCCTGTTTGTGATGTTGACATGTAGTTACTGTAAGACTGGTTTGTGCTGAAGTCCTCTTTTTTCTTTACAGCTCCATTTTTAAAAGTTATTAGGGGGTTCATGTTTTCTACTATTGATACTTGATACAGCCTATGAGCGTACAAAGATTTAGTAGCGCACCTGGGGGGTACGCTGTTTGAGCCGAGTGTGCGTACAATGCTACTGCTCCTGTGGTGGCTCCAGGAAGTGGAAAAAATCCTGGAAATACAGAGAGCAATTCTGCTTCAAATTTGTGTAATGATGGAAGGCGGAGCCAAGTTGTCCATAATATATACAGTCTATGGGGAAAACCCACCACCACTATGTTTTTGTGAGTCTTTCATTACAGTGTTTTTATAGTTTAGCAAACTACCAAAAAACTGGTACATCATCAATGTGAACCCTGTGAACACTGGCTAAAAAACACCAAGAACTCTACAAACCTTAAATAACTGACCCCTGAACTTGTCAGATACAGGTTACCTATTAATATGTTTCTATGCATTTCAGTCTGGACTACATTCATTGAAAGAATAAATTACTACATAATCATACCTGGCTGTAGGGCTTCAATCTGAGGGCTCTCTGCTCTCATGGACTTCATGGACTGGCTGTGGGACAGCTCTAAACACTCTTTGCGAGAGCATGGCACAGAAGTCTGTGAGTCCTTGAGTGTGGAGATATGGATGAGGCTGAAATGTGTGGACTCACAGGGTCTATCGCCATCCTGCTGTTCTCATTTTTCAAGTGATCCAACCACCGGATATTAAACTGTCATGTTACAGTCACTTAGGACGGAGAAAATGTGTCCACCTGTCTGTTAATCTTTAAAGCTGTGTCTTGCAGTGTTGCACAGAAGCAGAAGTGAGCTTCAAATCCACCCACACAGGAATTCCTCCTCTCAGCTGCTGTGACTGATCCATGTTCGACAAAGAGTCTGATTTTCATGGGCAAAAACAGTTGCGTAACATTTCCGTCATGGTTCCTGGGGCTTCCTCTCCATCATGTCTTTGACACACACCTCCCCTCCTTTGCCAAACACTGCAAATCAGTCTGCTTTGGTCTGATGGAGGCTGACAAGCTGGTGGTGTCAGAAAGGACTCAGACCTTGACCATCTGTGTGGATTTCCACTGCTGGACCACCAACAATAACAAACAGAAGAGAGAGAATTTGATCCACGCAGGAATAAAGCTGCTTTTCTTACTGATTGAGAGCTGCAAATTATGATCTCTGGTCCTTGGGCAATTTTGAGGTTGAGGGGACAGTAATTCATGGGCTCTTATGCTGCAGACCCCAGTGAATATCATATGCTTCTGACTGTTATGTTACAGGTAAATTGATGTGTATGAAATATATTCAGTTTTCCCAAAAAGTAAACCGATGGTAATTTATACTTACATGTTTTGTGGTCATAATGTGTGTGTGTGTGATTGTGCACAAGTCAGGGGAATGAGTGAGCAAAAACTTCTCATTTAGAACAATTTAAAACAATTCAAACCCCCTACGAAATGATACTCCCAGTGCACACCTCATAGAAACTGCAGCAGGCCCCAGGTTCATTTATACACATCCATATTCATCTACAATGCTGTCAGGCTGAAACTTCATATCTACAAAACCACTTCTTTTCAGGACACTTGAAAGAAAAAAAGAGGTTTTCACAAAAGCAAAAACTGCACTGGATTCAGTCATGAGCCTTTTTTTTTTTAAGATGCAAAGAGTGAATGAGGACATTGATTTATAAAACATAAAAGAATTAAAAAAGAAGATACAAGGTTTCTGCTTTTCCCAACATTTCCAAAGATGCTTATTCTTACATGTCCCTTATGTGAAATTCCTCCTGCTTAAAAAGGATAGAGGTGGGTGGAAGTGGTGATGAGTACTGGTGGAAGTGCCATGATCTCAAAAGCCACGGTGTTGTGTTTAAAACATGACACAATTGAAGTGAGTTGAAGGAAGCCAGGTAGAAAACAAAACGTTGACCAAAGCTGAGAAAAAGATAGTTGTGCCATCTTTGTTCGGGAGGCGGCCCAGTAGCAGCTTGTTGGAGAGGACATATCACCATGTGGAGTAGCATGAGTGGTCATACTTCTGTCAATAAACAGTTCTCTACTGGTGCTTGAGAATTGGCCTAAGCTATGACTGTAGCTCAAACTTATTAGTACAAGCAAGTGTACTTACTATAGCAAAGACTTTCGTCCCCATCTCAGTCCGGTCTCTAGAATCAGGACATGGTGACAGTCAGTGCGTTTACATACACAGCTCAATCGGACTGAACTCATACTTCTTTTTTTTTCTCCGAATTGGACTTCTCTCCTTGTCTGGGTATACATGCAGCTGAGAAATATGAATTAGTGACGTAAACATGTCCTCCTCCCCTAAACTAGGGGGTGATATGGGTCTTTTCAGCGGCGCTGTTTCCGACCCCAAACAAATGTCTACAACAACAGCAGGTCTGTGCCAGATGTCAGAAGTGGCTACAACTGCTGCTGGGCATTTAGGAGAAAGAAGGTGGAGCATCGTACAATATTGTTTTTGTCATACATGATGAACGCGCTACTTTTTCTGCAGATGAGATGCACGCTACTCCTCTTCTCTGGTGTTTTTGTTTTGGGATTACGGGGGTGTGGCGCACGCACACATGCATTGTCCGATCATACTCCAACTACGCCGGTTACATTGTAGAGAAAATCGAATTCCAATCACATTATCTGGCTGTCTTAATTGGTGTTCTCCGACTCCAATCGGAGTTCTCAAACTCTGATTATAGTCGGACTAAGGTGTTTACATGCACCTCAATTGTCCGGTCTTAATCGGAGTAAGGCATTAATTCGGTTTTCTTGTGTGTCATGTAAACGTACTGAGTGGGCACAGACGTGAGAGCAGACTGAGAGGCTACTGGCCCCCAGCCATCTCTAATATGAAGAAGTGGAGCAACATCCTGTCCTGCAATCCAGGATGTGACTAGAGAGCTGATGGGTACAATTCTTAGATTGTACCCATAACTGAAATAACTGAACTGCACTGATTAAAGCAGCAACGTTAAAACTTGCTGATGTCAACATAGATAAACCTGCAGAAGTCCAGTCCACCTCTGTCATGTTACTTTCAATTGAAATGTTCAGTTGGATGTAAATCAATACAAATAAGCCGGCTCATGTTTAACTTGACCCTGGACTTAACTGGAAAGTTAGCTTCATTTGTACCGCAAGGAGACTGATAGGAATTTTTGTCATGGAGGCGCCACCATGTGAGGTTGCTAGACTGCTATAGGACAGTAGAGTATCTCAAACACACGTTCCTGCCAGTATACGGCTTGAGCCCGCTGAGCCACAGATCACCTTGTTAGTCTCCATTTCAGATACGGACCCAAACCTGGAAGTTCCATCTGTGTGATTCACTCCAAGGCTGACTGAAGGATCGGGTTGCCCCTCAGCTCCCTGAAGAGAGTGTGTGTATATGTGTGTACTTCAGTGCTTGTTCATGCTTTTACATGGAACATTTGTGTGTGCACAGGGCTTATCTAGTGTTTGTGTGGGAAGGTATGTTTTAATGTGTGTGTATGTGTGTGTTGAACGAGGGCCAGATACGGGTAGAGGAGAAAGATTGATGGTTCAGGAGGGACTCGGCAGCTGGAACAGAGAAGAGCAGACAGACAGACGGACGGATGGAGGGAAACAGGGGAATAAATCAGAAAAAAGAGGAGAAGAGGAGGGTGCCTGGAAGGATGGAAGTAGAGCAGACATAAGAGGAAAAGAGAGATGAAAAGGAAAGGGGATCATAGAAAAAAAAATTGGTCCAGACAAACAAACTGCAAATTCTTCAGAAATGATGTGATGCACGATTTCAATAATAGCCCAGTAGGTTGCAATATGTGCCGTCATTCAGACATGCCAGCAGACCATAGGAAATATCATATAATACTAATGTATCTGACCACAACCATGCTTGACTCTGTGCAGACTGACACACACACACACCTCACATCCATCTCTCCTTTTTCCTTTCAATCCTTCTCCACTTCTCTTTCCCTTTTTATTTACCACATCCCTCACTTTCTCTCCGCTTTCTCTTTCTACTGCTGAAACTTTAGCACACACACACACACACACACACACGCACACACACACTCCTGACCACATCCCCTCCTCTCTCCTCTCTCCTCCCAACCTCAGGTCGTGTGGTAATGAGTGTGTGATGGAGCCTCGTGGCGAGCAGACTGGCAGAGGTATTTTTAGCACTTCTGGTGGTTTCCATCACTAAATATTCTCCAACTTCATATTTCAGTCTTGAGACCAACCTCAAAGGGAGAAATGGATAGTTTGTTGCAGTTGGTTTAAGCTATTAAGACATCGCTGTGAAATGTAGCGTGGACGTCTGTGGATTGACTGCAAGAAGAGAAATGGGTGATAACTGGAAAATCAACAAGCTGGTCTCAGATCAACAAAAAGTTTCAAGTAAAACTGGGACAGAGCGTCCATTGGTGACAAGGAATTAAAAATCACATAAATCAAATCACCTCCGTGCTGCCGTTCAATCCAAAGGGGAAAATAATGAGTGGAAACAATCATCACATTCAATCAGTCAAAGCAGAGAATTTTCCTGAATGTGGCATCTATTTTTATTTCTAACAGATGCAACTATTGCATCAGAAGAAAAAAAACAGTTAATGTTGGCCCACTCAGAGTCTGCAGCCGATCTGGAGCAAAACTGTAAAAAAGTTAGAATAATGGATGTACAACTTGACATCATGCAAAGCTTTATCAAAGCATTGGGCATTGGATGCCACCGTGTTGGTTTTCTTAAACAGAAGTGGACAATTTTGGAGAAAAAATGGTGCTGCTAGAGGGCGAGGAGAAGCTAGAGAGAGCTCTGCTATCAAAGTAAAAACAGTCTGTGCCCCTGGCAAATTCAGCATCTGGCCAGTGATCTAGTTAACCTATATGACGAGATCTAGTTGTGGTAGAGGCTGTCCACGGTTGTTTATTAGCCATTTTGAAGAAGTTCATATCTAAAAAAAAAAAAAAAGAATATTAGAACAAAACTAGAAAAAGCTGAAGCACAGGCTTCTTGATGGTCTGTTGATGCCATAAACCACACTGCAAACCATATTACCAGTCCATTCTTTGGATGAATACATCCTCAGAGAAAAGAAAAAGCCAAGAGTTGAGTTTTTATCCTGCAATCATCTTGCTTAGCCAAAACGAGTTACGAGTGAGTTTCTCAGAACTCCAATAATGGAAAACCTATAAACATGCATTTATTTAGGGCTACACACCTTGTAACTTATTGCTCGTTAGGCTAACATTACACAATGTGGCGAACATCAGAATGCATGTAACAGCAACATATCTTGCTTGTAATGAACAGTCATTGACTTATCCAGCAGTATCAAGGCAACATTGAAGTTGGACCTCAGTCCAATCTCCTTCAGGGTTGTCCATTGAGAGAAAAATTACACCACTGTAAATCCGCGTTAATCCTCTCCATTTGTCACTCTCTTTCTTCGCCAACAGACCTTCTGCCGAACAGGAAGGCTTTTTCTTTTTTAGTAGGATCCACTTTTGAACCTCTTGGTCGCTTCTTCAGGTTTTCTGCCAAGTTGCCTCTAGCAGCGCTCTCCTTCCCCTTCTGTCACAGTGTCAGGTAAAACCAAGTAGAGCGCATTATGTCCTTTGCGCCAGCGTGGAAATGTCGCCACCGACACCAAATACAAAAAGAACAAATACTGAAAAATACCGCAAGATGTCAGAGGAGCCAAACGGCTTAATCAGTGTTGTATTATCTTCTCTTGTAGTGGCTTGGATGAAACAGATATTTACAGACATCTTACACACTATAACTTTAATATTTTAACGTCACTTCCCTGCCCTGATGTTGTGCAGAGGAGAGGCAGCGATAAGAGATACGGAGGAAATGACAGATAGTGATAAAATAGTAAAAACAGTCATCCAATAAAACCTGCTGTAGTATGTCTTTAACACATCCTCAGATGTTTTATGACAGTTTGTGCATCAAAACAAAACAAAAAAAACAGGTTTAAAAGTTAGTCTTAGTTTTGAATCAAGGCAAATCTTCAGTGCTAATCTTTGTGCCTTTTGGTATTGTGTTGCGTGTGGCTGTGGTCCACTGGCAGGACACTAAAGCCATGACAAAGACTGAGAACAAAAATACTGACCTCAGTAAGAGACTCAGCAAATATGAGAAGTTTCCCTGAAATGATGTCTGACCTCACTGTTCTCTTTGGGCTCACGTGTGCCTTTTGTGTTGCTGAAAAGTCGCTGTCTCAGCCTCATTTTATGCTGATAAAAAAAAAAAAAACTGGTCATCATGGCTCACTGTGTTTCCATAACGACCAGTCAGCTGCAGCTGCCACTAAACCGTATATTTAACTCTCAAACACTTCACAGAAACTCCCCTCACTCTGCCAATTTGTTCCCACAACAAACTTTCCTTCACTCCTTTTTCCATTTCCAGCTTGTTTTGTCTCAAACTGAGACCTCAATCATTTGTTGTAGACACCATTAAAGTGGGGCAACAAAAACAAATTGACCTAATTCAGAGAATATGCCAATATACACTGGTGGTGTCTAGCCCTGCTTTTGCTATGGTTGGGGTTTGGGTTTAAGGTAGGGACATAAAAAATAAAAACTCTCTCTAGTATCCACGGCTTATTTAATAAAAACAGGAATAAAGGGGAGCTGGCCTGGGTGAAAGTGAGTGAGGAGGTCGGATTATCTGGTAAATTGCGAAAAACGTTTGTCTATCACTTCATCCTGCCAGTTGCCAATGGCGGAATCACTGTTGAAATGAGCATTAACAGCTATCCACGGCTTCGAAGCACTTTGTTGGCGCGCGAATGGACAAAATGATTGTCGTGAATAGAGCAAATTGTCCGTGCAAATGAAGCAAGTAAATATTATTCATTCACACATCTAGTTTCACATGAATTTAGCGAGTAAATGATTTTACTCGTGCTTGGTGTGAACGCCCCATTAGAGACCACATGCAAGGCCATTAGAGACCACGTGCAAGGCATCAGTATTTGTAGACTCCAAGCGAGAGTTTTGTTTTCTTAATCTTTGCACAAACTAAGATTAAAAAAATCATTAGTGGTCAAATGGAGGATCTGTGTCGTCTTCTTGCTAAACACTGTGCTCTTTGGCTCCCTGGATTTTTACCATCATTGTTCAGGTGTCTGATTTCAGGCTTTCGGGCTTTTTCAAAGACTGTGGTCAGGACTGTGTTTGTCAGTTGTACTGAATTCTACATCTGTATGATAAAGTCATACATTTTCTACAACAGGTGTGAAAATGTTAACCTGTTTTCTTCAATACTTTTCATGACAAATTGGTCTTTAAAATGTGTCTGTTTTCTCTCATTAAACAGTATAGGCCTACCATATCTTGCGTTTAATGTGCTACAAAAATAAATTCAGCTCAGCCTTGCTTTTAGTAACTGAGTTGAAAAAGTCTACTTTGTCAGGCTGTTCTGTGCAGTAGAATATATTTAAACTCTGTATTTTGAATAGCAAAGAACAATGCATGTTGCGTTGCGTTCATGTACAATGACAAATTCCCCTCTTGTGAGATTTTTTTGTGTGTGTGTGTGTGTGTGTGTATGTGTGTTTAAAATGGTTGAGACGCCCAACCTTTAAGTGAAGACCGTTGAGGCCTTGTGGACACGTATGCCACATATCCATTTTTTTGCAGAAGACAGGAACAGACGCCAGGCCTTGTGCTATTATGAGTTGATTTATCCTCAACTTCCACATTCTTTTATTTCCCCAAAACGTTCTTGTTTTGAACGTTTCCTGGTAGCACATGTAAATAGACGTCAACTAACAAGCCTTCAACAAAGTCTCATAAGTCTGCGTCCTCCTGCACAATAAACCCACTGCTCCCCTGCCTTACAGGGATGAATGTTTTCAAATGATCCTCAAAAGTGAAATGATCTATGCTTTATGTCCTGTGAGAAACAAACGTTAAGAAGAGGAAATTGTAAAAAGCCAAGAATCTAGTGCACTCGCTCCTGTTGTTGGATATTTTCTGAGGCTGGATTAAGCGCAGATTTATTCAAAAACATCTATTTAAGTCAACTATTATGTTTCTCATGGAAAAGAAGTGAATCAACTTGTTACCTACAGCATCTTGTTTATGATAATTACTATTCTTCTGGCATGAGGAGAGAGTTCTCTGAGCTGACTGATGGCTCACAGTGGAGCAGAAATCTATTTCTACATTCATTAAGAAATTTCCACATTTCTACTGGGTGCTCCATCTCCTCCATCTTTGTTTCTGTTGGCAGAATCATACTCTTCTCCATGGACATCTTTTGCTTTCTCAAAAACAGGCTTTTTTGGATAAGGTTGGATATTGTGCGTACAGAGACAACGCAACATAAGAACATACAAATCCGAGCACTCAACATCTGGCAGATAATGTTTGTGTCTGCTGGGGTTAGTCCACTTAAAATCAAGTACAAACAAGATGAATGTCAGCTAAATTTAAACCCATTGCCATAACCAAATACTGGAACAGCACCTTCAGGCATGAAAAGCGTCTCCACACATTGTTATCAACACAGATTTATTGTTTGTCTCTCTTGGAGGTATCTTCCTCGTATCTCATATCTGTGTGGCTTTGGCCTTGTTTTCGGTCTGTGTGGCCTCTCTTCCTTCACTCCTCTTGTCTGTTTTGTTATTTGAGTCTGTCCAGACTACAATGGTTTTATGAGTCAGTACGTCTTCGGGGGAATAAAGTTTGAAGCCTCTAATCTTTTACTACAGCCTCTTATTGTGTGCTTGTGCATGTGTGTGTCTTTGTGTCATGGCTGCATGATGTTTTAATAGCCTGCTATGATAATAAACAGAAAATTCATAAAGTCTTGTAAAATAAATTAAATCATACGTCAAGTAAATACACACAGGATGCTGCTAGTTTCTGGCCAAACCCCTTTATCCTGTCTGAACTTGACGTTGATTCAGGAGCAAAGTTATTGAAACGGAACGAGACAATCATTCAAACCATTATTCCCATAGCTTCTTTAACTTTGGTTAGAAATAATGGAAGACACAAAACATCTGCAAAAACATGAAAAAGTACATTTCATAATGATTTGGGAAAAATAAGGCAAAAAAAAGAGCTCCTTTGGCTGTTCTACTTAGACGTGGGGCAGCACATGGTGATAGACTTATGCTGTTGCACTCCACATAACAACCACATGTGACAATCAGTGCAATGACGCCCAGAGGAGTATTTCTGAATTATGAGTCAGAGTCAAGGGTAGCCAGCCAAAAATATACTTTTTGAATGGTTATTTAGTTCAAAAAACAGTAATGCTAGGTGTCAAGGTTGAAGCACTCCGCTCTAGTACTTTTTTAGACCTCTAGTACTTTTTTAGTTTGGCTTGGACTTGAACTCCAAAAACTTTGACCTGGACTTGTGCATTGACTGCATAAGAACACAGAAAATGGAGAGTTACTTTTAAATAAAAAATTATATTGTGTTAGATTTTTAGTATAAAAAGACTTACAAGAAGTCTGGAGAGTTAATGAGCACCTCTCACTCCTGGCATCTAGCAGGTGTACTCAATGGTGCCGGTGAAGCAGCTCTGTAAGACATTTAAAGTAGTTACAAATCAGGATGGATCCCGACCAAAGACTGTATATACCATGGACAACTTGGTTCCACCTTCCGCCATCAAACTGATTTGAAGCCGAAAAGCTCTCGGTATTTCCATGATTGGTTTCCATTTCCTGAAACTAAAATTGTACAATAGCGTTGTACGCACTTCACCACTTGCTCAGTAGCATTGTACGCATTTGGCGGGAGAGTCGCTGTGTTGACGCT